CAAAGACATCGATACTTACCTTAATGGCTTCTCTTTCCACATATACTACCATATTATTGTCTTATAACTCCATTTTATAAGTTTTGTGAGGTTTTGATTTTTTGAGTTTGGAGATGTTTTGGAGGATTTAAGAAGATGAAAAGATAGGGTTTAACTTGGGTTGTCGCGGCAGTTACGGTGGCGTTCGGTGGCGTTCGGCGGCGTTCGGCGGCGGCGGCGGCGGCGGTGAGGGTTGGAGAGGAGAAGAAATGGTGGAGGTTTTTTTTTTTTTTTACAACAAAGGGTTTTTTTCTTTTTTTTTTTTATTTGGTTTTTGAATAGGTAATTTCTAAAAAAAATTGATATAATTGATATTTTGTATGAAGGGTGTTTTTGTACTTTTCTTTTTATTTTGGTATTAAAGTAAGAAAAAACTGATAAATATGTACTCAATTTTGGTTTTAAACTTGGTAGTATTCAAGTAAGCAAAAGTTGGGATTCAAAATAGTTGCCCCCATAAGTAATAACATCAATATATGAAGAAAAAAAATGTATTTTAGAATTTACGTCGAAACTTCACAAATGAAAATGAATTCATCCCTTGGTTTCGTAGATGTATTATTCGAAGAGATGAATTTGTAGGCAACACAATAGAGACATATCATCATCATGTATGTGTACCTTAGTTATAACTTATATATGTGTTTGTTATGTTATAATCTGATGACAAAATATAATAAATGTTATCTATCAAAAATAATAATAATAATAATAATAATAAAAAAAGAAAAATGATAATGTTTCTTTCTTACACATGTGAAACTTAGTTGTAGTGTTGTAATGGTTGCTAGTTATTCAAGTAGAGTTGAGAGCGAGTCACGGGGGGCTGCTCCACAGGTTTGCAAGAATGTCTTTTCTTTGTATCTATTCCCTTGTGACTCAATTCCTCTACCACTTATTTTTCAGGTGTTTTTTTCTTTTCTAAATTATGTTTCGACTTTCATTAATTGGATTTTAGTAATCACTCGACAGCTTATTATTTGAATTTTTTAGATTTTTTTCAGAAATAGAGCTTTCAAATAGCTTATAAGCTCTTCTTAGCAGCTTATATGCTTAGCCAGACACCTTCTACTGATATTTAGAGGCACAAAATAATTATTGGTTTGAAATTAATGAATATGAAATCCATACTAAAAATTAAGCTTCATTGTTAAATAATCAAAACAGTGGAATTCAATAAAATTTGTTATTATGAATGTAAAATGCAGAGCATGATATAAAACGACAACTTTGCCAGGTATAATAAAAGATAATCACTTGAAGAAGTTATTATCAAGGGAGAGAATAAATAAATAAACAACATTTCATCATCAAATACAATAAAAAGCATCCCCCATTAAATTACGAAAATGGACTTCGTACTCGAAAATGTCAAACATGCAAAACTGAAGAGTACCTAACTTGAATATCGCACCAATTTTTCGATTTCCTCCTTTTTTTGCAAATCCAATAAAACTTAGGTCATCACCTTACATTGATACACTCAGATCTTGCATCTTCGCTTTCTTTTTTTTTTCTCTTTTTTTTTTTTTTTTTTACAAGGCCTAATGATAAGTTACATAATCACCTTACCTGGTTCCTGAAAGCATACTCCGGAACTCCGATCGAAACATGTAAACCATACCATAGTAAAAACTGATCCAAACAATCAAATATCAGGTACAGCAGCTTTTGCTTGTTCAACTTCGTACCAAAATTTCTTTTAAATATGATGCTGTCTTCACTAGCCAAACGATGAAGAAACTCTGACCTCAAATGCGCTGCTATAATTTATGCTCAAGCAATTTACTAGGTAAAAAAAATTCAAACATGATTCTCCTGGAGGTGCCTTTTATGGTCCCTTTCCGTATATCCAAGCCTCCCCAATCCGTTTCTCTCCAACGGGCTACCGGGCTTCCTCTTACGAACGTTTGACCTAGGTGAGCGATACCCTCGGTCAACTTCATCAGAGGGTCCCACTTCACCTTCTTCTACTGTGTCGTAATCTTCGCCATGTGAGGATTGCCCCTTCATCACTTGGTAATGCCCACCACCACCATCTTCAGCGTCGTTCGCTGCATATTTTGCATGATGGGACTTTTCATACTCTGGCCTACTCGAAGGTTTCGTCCAATTGGTTTGCTTTTTCTCACGCTTTGTTTTCTCACTCTCGACAGGCAATTCAACATCTTCAAGTTCCCTCTCGAGTTCATCCACAGGGTCGATTTTACGAGATATGTCTCCACGAGCCTTCCTTCGTTCGAACGCAGCTTTAATCTTCTCCTTGTCCAGCTTCTTTGTTGCGTCTTGAGGCGACTGACCAACTGTAGCAGCATCCTTACTGGACAGGTTTCTCCCATGATGTTTATCCTTCGTTTCTACTGCAGATTCAGTTGGCACAGAATTCTCCTCTTGGTCATCCTTAAACTTCGATTTATTATCTATCTCCCCAGAGTTACCCTTTCGAGGCACCGATTCTTGATCATGATTCTGGACATCATTAATCTCATCATCTACCGAGCGATCTGGCAAACTATTGGTTTCAGAACGTCCATAATCATTGTTTCGTGTTTGAGGGATTTTAGGGGGTCCAGTGTGATTGTCAGTATGCTGTGAATCAGGACCTGGCCTTGATGATGATGAAGATGGCTTTAAGGAGGATGCCTTCGAAGTAGCTCCACCATGGGTAGAACTGTAATTTGTGATGTGTTCTTCTTCGACTTGACTTTTTGATGGAGGGCGTTGACTGCCTCCGGCACTCCCTTCTGCTTCACTAGCCTGAGATGCTGGCACTCTGTTTTGTTCGTACAGCTCTAACATCTGATTGCTCACCTCTGCAAGGAACACAAAAAGTGCAGTTAAAGGGGAAATATGAAATATCATGTATTATCTTACGAGCAGCAAAATTATATCACTACAATCAATTTCAATTGCACCATCCTCCTTGACCCTTCCCCCCCAAAAAAAGTTGATTTTAATTAAATGTTATCATCTTTAAGAGTTTTTGATAAGCATGATGTTGATTCTTATATTCAACATCACGAAACCAAACTGTACGAGCAACCAAAGGCACCAACCCTCCAATTGGCGTGGGGTGACATCAAACTCCTGCCACCAAACCTTCTCACCGTCGGATGGAAGCTTTACTTTAAGAAACTTGGCCGCAAGGAAAATAGCACCAGCTGCAATGTGATGTGGCTTAAATTGCAAGCATAGGGATGTCCGAAGCCTGCATGCCGCTAAAGGATAAGAGGTAGAATGGCCATGGATAAGCACTATTATTAAAACTATGTTTTCAGTAATTATCTTACCCATCATTCACAAAATTCCATGCAACTTGAGCTAGTGCATTTTGAGCAACCTTAAATTTTTTAATTGCCTCAACAAGGGGCTTATATGGATGATGAAGATTGAGATCGAAACCAAGCGTCCCGAGAACCATTCTTTCTCCTACTAAAACAAGTTCTTTTTGTTGCTCGTATACCTCCTGCTCAAAGGACAAAACATCAAATATTGTATAAATACGAACTTCATAGGAGGCCGAACGTAAAAAGGATATCAAGGTTAAGTAGTATTAGACAGTGAGATAGAGGACCAAGGTTCAGCACCTTCTGCTTGATCCTTTGCACAGCGGCAGCATCTTTTTTATGAATAATCTCATATGACACAAGAATGACATCTTTTAGAGGACGTGGAGTTTCTTCAACCTTACCCGCTAGAAACATACACACTGTTGCAATTGTCTGCAGTAAACATGCAACATATAAGCTTCCAAAAACTCAATCATGACTACAGAAAGTCGCCAGAGAAGAGTTGAGATTAAGCAGCAAAATATTAAGTCAATAGCAACATCGCCTCCTCAACCATTTATGTCATATTCTTTATCTTTACCAATTAGTTAGATGTGTCTTCTCTCTCCATGATGTGGGAACTTTTATTATTGTTGTGTTCATTCATTAGGTTTCCAAAAGAAGATATTTGAATGCTATGAAAAAAAAGTTCAAAAAAAATGCTACAAAGACGATTCTCTTGAGGGCACACAATTATAAATAAATCGACCGACAAGATCCATGACATGTTATTAACTAACACACACACAATTAGACAAAAACCATAACTATACACACCGTATCACCATGAAAGAACTAATTCTTTGCTAGAAGGTATTATCCTTTTAAGCATGTATCAACAGAGCCACTTAATATAAATGTCATCACCTTGAAATTAAAAAAATAAACAGAAAAGAGACAAAACTCACTCACCCTCCTGTCATTTGTTGCATGGGACTGACGAAGGAAGAAACGGTGGCAAAATATAATTGCTGTAGCAATCGTCACTTGAGGCCTGCACCATAAAGCATCCAATGTTACAGTCGAAAGCTTGAATAACCAACTATAGTATTTGATAGGAAAACTGAAGTGCAGTCAGAAAACAGAAGTACTATAGCAGGATGGACGATATTAATTCAAACGCATATTATTGTGATTCTTATGCCCTCCGTGTACATTAAAAAGTGCAAATAAAATTTATATGTCAGCGTTTACAATGGAGCCCAAAATTATATTCCTTAAGGAATTCAAACTCATAACTTGTTTTGTAAAAGGAACCTTATCCATTATTCGGTTACCGCGTGCCTCCACACAGACATGTTTATGAGGGTTGAGTAGCCATCCCACTTTTATTACAATTCCATCAATTTTAAATTTACTGATGTTCCATATGCTCCTCGGAAGTTCAAATAAAATAACAAGGCAATAAATAAAGGCAAAACAGCTTATATTCAGAGCTTCTAGAGGTGAAGATAGATACTAGAAGCACCACAAACTAGCAAGAGAACTTACTCTTACAAGATACTTTAAAGTTTAAACAATGCATAATCACATGAAATGCTAAAATATGGAACCAAATGCACATCCAAGAAAAGGAACTTACACTTTAAGCCTCATGCCTAAATCTTGTAAAAATGTACAGTATGATTTCCGCAAGTATGTCTCTTTTTTCAAATCAATTCCATCTCGTCTAGAAGGGGAATTTTCTTCAATTTCTTTCCTGGATAAATACCAGTGCTCACCACCTTCTTCAGGTTTTTCCTGAGAAACCTTATAACTACCTTCAGGTGCTGCATGATGGGAGGCCTCACCAGACAATAGGTTAGCCATTTCCGGCTCCTTTCTCCCACCAATTATGTTCAACCAACGCCAGATGAGGTCTCTCAAGTCAACAAAATATGCTCAGTGTCTCAGACGACCTTCATTCATCCACTTACCGTCAGAAAACTGATATATAAGAGCATAAAAGAGGAATAAACGGAGTATAATGCACGTAAAATGTAACTTGGAAGAAAACAAAGTAAAACAAACATAAGGATATAGCAAAGGAAGGAAATCCAGGCAAAATACATCATAAGAAATACTGAGAAATACACAAACATTCGTGATTCTATAAGCAATTAAGCAGTGGTTACAAATGTTCATAAATACTCAACCACTATTACACCTTATATTAAACTGCAGATCCTCTAAAGAGAAACTGAAGTTAAAACACTACTGAAAAACAACACTTCAGACATGACACCTCATTAAACAGCAAATTCTTAAAACAGGTTCCAATATGATCTTTTCATGTAGAAGCACATTTGAATAATTAGGAGATGTGCAGTATGTAACAATGAATGAACTTTTGGATTATGTCGCATATGTGAAACTCCCTTCTAGCGAACAAGAATTTGTGAATAACTGAAAATAATCAAATAACAACTCACTGAAGTATTGCTAAGAGAAGAATATGTGGGTGATTTGAAAAATCTCTTACCTTGCACATAACACTTTGAACATAACTAGGAGTAGTATTTTCAAAAACATATTAATTCCACCTTTCACCAAAAACTTAGTACCAAGACAATTTCACCAAACAGCATTTAGTAATGTCAAAGGACTTCTATAATAGCACCTACCTAAAAGTCAATTTCTAAACTGACTTTATTTTCAGAATTACTCCCAAACATGAAGTAAAATGTAATAAACAGTTATGTGTAAACTTAAGGCATATATCACTCGTAAATGGTGTATATTATTGCACCAAAGTGGGTGAAGCATATGTAAAGAGGAACCTACTTCTCAAAATATGAATTTTAACTATTTACCAGTCAGAAATTTTATGATTAGACATAAATTTGAACATTTTTGCCTTGAAGGAAAATAGTTCATTAACAAGTTCTCCAGATAAGTTCACTATTAGTCACCTAATAGCTTCTGTATAAGTGAGAACAGTTTCTACAATTCCAAATGCAATAATGTTTGGCAACTCCAATAGCCAATTTGAAGTGGTATATTGCAATTATAAAAGCCTTTTATACTCATGAAACTTATTATCCGCAGGCACATATAATCAAACCTATACTTTTGAGCTTTCATAAATCATAATGCGGAAGTTACATAGAACTAAGTGGATTTACTGAATCCTAGGACCTGTACCTGCAGCAACACACCACCAGAAACTCTCACACCACTCTACCTCAAACCCCTACCCAGGGCAAAAATAAAAACACATATAAATCAAATCTGAACAAATAGACCTTTAGAGGAGGGGAACAGTTCAGGTCAAAATGCGAATTTTGAAAGGCATGAAGAAGCCAAAAGGAAGTACAATTGAATGAGATAGAGCACGCGTGGTATGGGAATGAATTTTTCTGGCAATAAAGGACGTCGAGGTCTAGGGGGTGGAAAGATTGCTAGAGGATTGTGAGAGGGGATGGATGGGCAATTGGGAGTGATGAATAGAAAATTGGGAGCCATGGGGCAGGTGACAACAATGAGAAAGATGAAGGATAAGTATGCAAGTTAACCTAACCTGCACGTGAAGACGTATGTAAGTTGTTGGCTAATGAAAATAAGCCCTTGTCTCTACAATTGCTTTGTATGTCTATAATGTTTTATCATTTTTTAAATCATTATATTTTGCATGTCTAAGTAACTTAAACAATTGAGAGATAATCTTTGATATAATGATTCAATAACTTTTAACATTCACATAATTTATTGACATACTAAACACAAGCGAATATCATTTATATAAACTTAACTATATTTCCTATAAACTTTATACTTGGAAAACAGATTAATTATATGTTGAATATAATACCGAATGTGCAAAATAGATGAATTAAAACAATTCCACTGGAAAAGTACGAGAATTTCATGCTAAGTGAGCGTAGATTATTCAAGCATTCATACATGCGTACTATGCAATCATAACATGTATTTCGGTAAAGAGAACTCTAACCAAGTTCCAATCTTGCAGCCTTTACAAAGATACTCATTGAAAAACTTAATATTTTCTAATAAGATAGCTCTACAAAAAGGATGTTAACAGATGTAAAAATAGGAAGTCATCTTGCAAGTAAACAAAGGGCCAAGGTTTGGTCAGGATTTTGAACTTCCAGACATCCAATATTATAACAACACGCCTCCTTCATCGCATAATACTTACCATAACATATTTCAAAAACATATTGTGTATAGTATCTCAAAACTTGCAATTTTCAGGAACTTGCACTACTTAAACAAGAGCCAGCTTCAAACATCTAAATAGTAATCAAACTCAACAGCCAGTCCATCAGAATCACGGGAATATTGTAAACTAACAGGCTGTATTTTCATGCATAGTACCTATTAATCTTTCATGTTTATGTCCAAAAAAAAATCTTTCATGTTGAATTTCTCTCTTTTAGTTTCCCTCTTTTTATTAAACAAGGACCAGCAGTCCTACTTTAAAATCCTAAGAGGCTTCCAACGACTGAATAATAACTTAACCAATTTTGAACTACCAATTTGACGTGGATTGTCTGTTGACCACCAAAACCAGACAACAAGCTTTACAGTCAAGAATACCCCTCCACCCCCACAAACAGGCATCTTTAGCCTACATTTAATGCAGATCTTATAACAAACAACCAACTCCAATAAAATATCGTAAGTTCAGTGGAGTAACCCGAGGCCGAGAATGTTCAAACTCAGGCAAAAAAGGAGCAATATGAGATTCAAGTAGTTCCGAATTGCACCAACAAACTTAGCCAAACAGGAAAGAAGTTTCACATAAAAGAAAAGGAAAAAAATAACTAAAAATCAAGGCTTGCCCATGACCTAAATCCATATCAGAGAAGAGTTACAGATGTACAACCTAAATCATACGAAATAAAAATAAATAAATAAATAAATAAATAAAAAATCAGAAAGCTGAATAATACTTCTTACCTGAAAATTGAGGAGAGGAAAGGATCAATCTTCAAAAAACTTCAATTTCAATTGGAACCCAGACCTCAAAAATACACGGAATTTAGGGAAAGCTTAACTTCAAGGATAATAGCCACTGCGAATATATATATATATATACAACAAAAAAAATTAGGGTAAATTCAACTCGAGCCGAGATAGCAAATCTAGCAAAGCACAATAATAAAATCTGACCCAATTAGCGGCGGAGAGGAGACGGAGTTGCTTTGCGCGGCGGCAGGCGATGTGATAGCGTAGAGCACTCGATGAGGGCTGGAGATGAAACCAAAAAATCGTGCTTAATTACAAAACCAAAAAAAAAAAAGATTATAGTGTTTATTATACGACAGAAAATAAAAAAATAATTCCAAATTATATTGCTAATTGGGCTTTTTATTGGGCCTATTATTTCTCTAATATAATATTTGTTGGTACAAGAAGGGGGCGCCCATTACATCATTAAAATTGTCAAATTATATTATTGGGCTGATTTTGTTTGAACATTTAATTAGTGCAATAATTGGGCTATTTATTAAAAACAAATAAATTAAAAGTACGTTAGTAGTCAATCTATTATTAAAATAAAAAAAATAACAATGTCATATAATTACAAATCTTGTTTTCTTCATCATCTCTCTAATCTCTTTCTCCCGTTCCTTTGATGCAACAAATGCTAAAACTCGCGAATTCGGATGCTACGACTCGAACTTCATTCATTAATTTTGTAGATATATAGCGAAAAAATACAGGAAAAAATCGATCCAACACAATTCGCCATTACTTTGTTTGATAACAAACTCAATTTCCAACAAAATTCAGTTATGAAATGAAAAATGTGATTGATCATGTTCGATATGCTTCTCGCATTGATATTTGTTTAATAAGATCTGCAAGATAAGAAAAGAAAGGTCCGACGATCCGACAACCAAGTCAGTGTTTTTCTTCTGTTGCAGTTTATAAGTGAGTGATATGGTATGTGTTCTTACCTTGTATGGCTCTGTATGCTTTGTATTTATACCTTCAGTTTAGTTTAATTCGTCTAATCACTCCAGTAAAAATATATATGGATCCCAAATTCCATTTTAATGTCATTTACTATGTATTGTCAATTTATGCGTTGCATACGCTACTTAAGTCGTTAATAGTAACAAACATTCACTGAAAGTGACTGTGATAGAACGTGCATTAAATGTTGCCGAATCACTAGACGCCTAATATTTTGTTGTTTGCTAACTGCTCGCAAATTGATCGCTAGTCTTCTCGCAAGCCATGACAAGAAGTCTTCTCATCTTCTGTCCACTCTTATTCATCACTTCTCGCATGTCTTCTTAGTCATATTTCAATTTTTTGACAGGATTTTAATATATGAGTATTAGTGTTATATAAATGAAAGAGGTAAATTTAAAATCAAAGACAATTTATTTATTTATTTTTAGGCAATGTGTCGAACAATTTGAATTATATTACAATCTTAATATTTAAATTAAATATTTTAGAAATTAATCAATTTAGTACACTAGAAAATAAGTTTAAAAAAACCAGGGCCTAAAAGTTTCATATTTACCCCTAAGAAAACTGGCATATTAAAAAAGTAGTCCCTACAATTTATGATTTGAGTACCTGACCCACAAGAAGAACATGACCGTTATCCACAGAATTTAAAATTCTTCCATTTTCTCTCTCTCTCTCTCTCTCTCTCTCTCTTTCTTCCCGACCGTTGAGACCCTCACACCACCGCTCTCCTCTTTTACTCCTCTCAATAATCCCACCGTTGCGTAATTGAAAAAATCCTCAAGAAATCCAAGAACATTTTTTTGCTTTCAATCTTGATTATATTTTTAGAGAGAGAGAGAAATTGGCGACTGTAGTTTTTGAAGGAAGGAAGGAAAGATTTGATTTTTAATGGCGGCGCTGGCACCGGGGATTCTGTTGAAGCTACTGAACGGGATGAGCACCGGCGTGAAGGCAACGAGCGAGCACCGGAGCTCCCTCCTCCAGGTCACCGACATAGTCCCGGCCGATCTGGACGAGAAGAATCTCCTCCCCAAACACGGCTTCTACATCAAGATCTCCGATTCCTCCCACTCCATCTACGCCAGCCTCCCCTTCGACCAAGACGACCTAGTCATGAGCAACAAGATCCAATTAGGTCAGTTCATCTACATCGACCGCCTCGATCCCGGCTCCCCCGTCCCCACCGTCCGGGGGGCTAAGCCCCTCCCCGGCCGCCACCCTCTGATCGGCACGCCGGAACCCTTGATGGGCTTGAGATCGAAAGGCGACAACAAGGGTGTGAAATTCTCCGCTCCCACTAAGAGGGGTTCTTGGGGGGGCGGGGTTGAAAATCTCGAATCGCCGAGGCAATTGAAGCCGGTGCCTTTGGATTTCGATCAGTGCACGCCGCTCAAGGAGAGGGCGGTGAAATTCTCGATGATGTCGCCGGTGGTGGTGAGAGGGAAGGCTATGAGGGATGGGAGTGCGGTGAGGTCTTCCGTTGGCGGCGGGTTCTTGTCGAAGATAGTTGAGGCGAAGGGGGAGACTCCGTTGAATCTACGAAAGAGCTGTGCTTTCACACCGTCGAAGTTTTCGAGGAGCAAGAGTGTCTGCGAACGAGAGCTGCGGATTCCGAAGAGTCCCTTCAACATAGCTGTAGGTACATTTTTGCTTGGTTGTGTGCAATTTTGTTTGCCGAATTTCGATGAATTTAAGGGATTGTTTTGCTAAATTGATAGTGTCTGTTTAACAAACAGGAGAAGAGTTCAACTCCACCTCCAAGATTGAGAAATGCGAACTCGGCAGTTTGTTCGCCAACTGTTTGTGGAAATGCCGAGTCTCAGTCGAAGCTGAAAATCACATCTCAGTCGTCTCAAGCTTTTTCGTCTGAGGATTCGTCTTTTGTCGTTTTACCTGGAAAACTCAGCATGCTAGGAAAGGTGAATCACAGTTTATTTATCACACACACAAAAGTATTCATACGATAATTAATACGTGACTCGATTCTGTGTTGTGTTGCATTTTAGGAAGCTATGCAGCAGCGAGAAACCGCGCAGAAGATTGCACTTCAAGCACTTCGAGATGCCTCCGCCACCGAAAATCTCGTCCGCTCTCTCAAGTATGAATTCTTATGCCGAAACTCATTATATTGCGTTGTTCGTTCCGTTTTTCGTATATTATAAATAAGCTCAGTTCACATTCATACTTTTATCTTGCTTGTAGGATTTTCTCGAACTTGACGAAATCGGCCAAGTTAGATGCACCGACAGCCTGTTTCGAACAGTTTCTTGAATTCCATAGCCAAATCGTGCAAGTGGTGGCAGAAATGCTGTCCATTCAAGCAGCCACCGCCGCTAGTGAAGAAGACACCACCACCGTTTTAAACGAAATAGTCCCTAATTCAATGGACCAAAACCCGAGCACGGATTCAAATGCATCGAAAAGAAGGGCAGCGCTTCACAAATCCGTTGCATCCATACCCGAAAGAAACGAGCACAAGTCTATTCTCGGAAAGCACTTAAGATCAACAACCAAGGCGACAGCAGCAGCAGCAGCAGCATTGGAAAAAACAACGAGCGAGAACGACGAGAACAAAAAACCTGCTTCTTCTTCGTCGTCGTCTTCGTGCGGTTTGTACAGTACAATCAAACTGGGGAAGCAGATCGAGAGCGAAGCAGGGCTCTGGTTTATGGAGTTTTTGGAGAAATCGCTCGAAAAGGGGACTAGAAAAATGAAAGGAGGAGCCGCGGCCGAATTAGAAAATCGGAAAGTGCCTCAGTCGGTTATACTAAAGGTGATCAATTGGGTCGAAGTGGAACAGAGTGATCCGAATAAGCGGCCGGTGCATCCTAGAGCCGCAGTTATAGCTCGTAAACTCAGGATTAAGATGAAAAACCCCTGAGGATTAATTTGCATCAGTACTGAAAATCTATGTTACATAAGATTTCATTCGATTCATTCTTCCATTGTTTGTATTTCGAGATTATTTCAATCGTTACTGAATTTACGTTTTTTCTTCGGAGTTGTAGTAGTCGTTTCTTCGCAATAGCAGCAGCCCTCGTTTTCTTTACACTTAAAAGTTGTGGTACATTGTGTGTTATTCAATGTTTGCCTGTTTTTTATTGTCTGTAAATTTAGAGTAAATTACGGCCACCCTTTCGGGTAATGTCAAATTATGAAAAAATCTCTCATGTTTGGATAATTACACAATCACACCCCTCAATTATGAATTTTCTTACACGAACACCCTTATGGTGTCAAATTCAACGTAATATTCTAGATTCCGTGAAATATTCTCTAGTCTGTACTCGTCTTATGAAAAATACAGTTTCTGATGCACAACTATCAGACATTTACAAGTCAAGAGACACAGCTAATCATCATCTTGTTTCAAAATGTGAAGCTCGAATTGACACTATAAAGATCGACGTATAAGAAGATTCATAGCTGAAGGGTCCCAAACAGAAAAGGTTTTTTTTCGTAATTTAACCCATAAATTTACGAAGGTAGATGAATTCGAAACTGACTCATAAATATATTCACAAGTTGTGCAATTAACAAACAACACACACACACACACACACAGACATTCTTTAAAAACTACAACAACAAAGGAGGTACAATACATTTGATATATATGTTTGTATAGATACAATCAAACAATACATATACTGAAACAATACATATACTGTACGCATACACATGTGTTCGAAGCAAACATGTTAGAGATATATTTCACCAATGTAACACAAACTCCAATTAAATTAATCAATCAAGAAAAAAAAAAACACACACACACAGTACAAGAAAAACGTTCTTCTGCACAACCATTAAAAAATCCAATCTTTAAACCATCATTTATCAGACTGCGGCCAAACACTAACATTTTCTTTCTGGATCTTAACATACAGTGCAGAAACAACCGCCACGAAGTACACCTGGACGAAGATAATCGAAGGGGAGTGGTAATTAATTACGCTTTTACCAGTTGCCAGCTCAACCAGCAGCATAGCGGTTAACCCGAGCAACGCGATCCGGCCGTTGATTCGCTCCGAATACGGGCTGAACCCGAATTCGACTTTCAGCCCTTCGGATACGGGCTCCTTCAGGGGAACGGGCGGGAGGAAGACGTTCGACCCGGATGATGAAGATCCGGACCCGGGTTTCTTCCCCTTCCGGGTCTTGCGGGCCTCCGGCTTTTTTCCGGTTCCGCTGCGGTTGCGGAGGCGGACTTGTAGGAGGCGGTCCTCGAAGCTGTCGCTGTCCTGCTCCGGTGCGGGGTCGGTTGCGGCGGAGGAGGAGTCTTCCGGGACGGCGCGCGGCGGCGCGTGGAGTTTGAATGGGAGGTTTGGCCGTGGAGATGATGGGAACGTTGTTCTCGGGTTGGGGAAGTTGCCGAGTTGACGGTGGTAGAGTCGCCATTGTTGTGTTTCTGGTTTGGTGGTTTCTTCCTTCAGTTTCTTGTGGCCACTTATTTTTCTTCGATTATTTTCTTTTTATTTATTTTTTCTTTTTATTAACTTTGTTATTTTGAGGTTGAGGGTTGATAAGTTATGGGAAATACTGTTGAGGCCCCCTATTTTAGAATTTTGCTCTATTAACGCCTCATCTATTTAAAATATAATAAAATTTCAATCCCTTTGAATTAATCCAAGAAAATCTCAAGTTTAGATGCTCAAAAAGTTTAAAGAATGTCTCTAGTAAGATGTTCATTTTTTTAATTAGATTTGTTAAATTTTGATTTATATGAAATCTTGTTTATAATTCTTTTGATGTACTTCGGCTGTATGAAGCCCAAAATGTTTATAATTATACGATATGAGTCCAAATTAACTAAGGTCCAAGATCATATTTCAGGCACACAGTTGAAAATTAATTTAATATATAAATTAGTTTGATTATTATTACAAGTAATTCAATTTTCACTATTATAATTTTTATTGTAGAATATTTCGATTACATTGTCTCCATATTTTTCTCTTGAATTTGGACTGACTTAAGCATTGGAGGATTTTCACCGGAACCAAACTCCGGCATCATATCGTGTATTGTTTCAGTATGAAATGCCTCTCCCTGTTGCAAGAAAACTATTGAAGGATTATTTATATTTCCAATATTTATTGCAGGTTCGAGAATTATCTTGAGGTGATTCGAGTAAACTTATTGTTGACCGCATCACATTTGATTATCGTTATTAAGTTCTACCGACAAAATAGTAGAGAATAGTAATACGTTAGATTGTCAAGTTCATACTTAGAGGGTGTTTGGCTAAGCTTATTTTAAACAGCTGATAAGCTCCTACGTCTGATAAGATGTTTTAAGAGCTGATAAGCTGTTATGTCTTATTTTTAAGATTTATTTTTAGAGTGTTTGGATAATGAATTTATTTCCTATTTTTACTCATAATAAGATCTTAAATAAAAAGGTGGGGTAGATGTACTTTTCTAAAAAGATCTTATTTGCTCTCCAACAGCTTATTTTTAAAAAAATAAAGATCTTTTTCTAAAAAATTACCAAACACTTTGGAAGAGCTTATAAGCTCTAAAACATCTTATAAGCTCCTTTTAACATCTTATAAGCTTAGCCAAACACCCTCTTATTCGAACACGCTCTTAAAGTTGTAACATGTAATTAAATGCTACTATTTTTATTAAATTAGTAGCACTACTCCATCTGCATTTAATTTTACAAGGGATGACCAAAACGAAGAAAGACAATTTTACTTTAAAATCATACTTTACTATTGTTAATAAGTGGTTTTATAGATAAATAGACCTAATCCAATAAACCGAAACATCTTACTAATGAAATAATAAATTAGTCGATAGAAAATCAATACAATCTCATCTAATTTAATCTAATCGAATACAGGTAACCGAAAAGGAGTTTAAAATTCTATGTGTGTTGTTATTAGGACTCCTTCGATTATCATTATTAATTTATGTTTTCTTAAATTTGATTGGCAATACTGGTATTTAATAAAAAAAAATATTAAATAAAAATCCGTAAATTAAAAAGGGGAAAAAAAAAGAAAGGGGAAGAAACGCGATTTATGCTGTACTCGAAACCCCTTTACTCAAAAATAAACAGCCGCCATAATCTTCTTCCCCAATTTCTCTCCGATTAAGCGGAAGCCCTAGTTATGGATCTCCTGCAATCATACAGAAACTCCGACATGGAAGAAGACAAAGACGACGACGCTTCACCCCCTCCGCCTACAAATTCCGACCCGGACCCGGACGCTTCACCCGACTCCTCCCCAGTCCGGATCTCACTCCCCTCCAAATCCGCCGCACCCAAAGTCGACGACACCATGCTCTCCCTCACCGTCTCCGGCAAGGCCCATTCGGTGGCCCACAAACCAATTGACCCGACCCAACACCTCGTCTCCTTCAACCCCACCTACGACCAGCTCTGGGCTCCAATTGCCGGCCCCTCTCATCCCTACGCCAAAGACGGGCTCGCTCAAGGCCTCCGCAATCACAAGCTAGGGTTTGTTGAAGACGCAAATATAGGATCTTTCGTGTTTGATGAGCAGTACAATACTTTTTATAAATTCGGGTACGCTGCGGATCCTTCCAAGAACAGTTATGTGGGCGATGTTGAAGGGTTTAAGAACAACGATGGGATTTCCGTGTATAATATACCGCAGCACGAGCAGAAGAAGAGGAAATTGGAGAAGAAGAAGGAGATGTTGGAGGAGAATGAGGGAGGTGACCAGGTGGATGCGGTTGAGTTGGAGAATCCGGCATCGGATACTTGGTTGATGAAGAATAGGAAGAGTCCGTGGGCGGGGAAGAAAGATTGGGTGCAAGAGAATTTGACAGAGGAGCAGAAGAAGTATGCTGAAGAGCATGCGAAGAAGAAGGCGGAGAAAGACGGTGAGAAGGAGAAAGGCGAAGCCTTTGTTGATAAGACCACGTTTCATGGAAAAGAGGAGAAGGATTATCAAGGGAGGTCGTGGATCGCACCGCCTAAGGATGCAAAGGCGAGTAACGATCATTGTTACATACCGAAGAGATTGGTGCACACTTGGAGCGGGCATACGAAAGGGGTTTCAGCTATTAGGTTCTTCCCCAATCATGGTCATTTGATATTGTCTGCTGGGATGGATACAAAGGTGAAGATTTGGGATGTGTTCAATTCGGGGAAATGTATGAGAACGTACATGGGGCATGGCAAGGCTGTACGAGATATATGGTTTAGTAACGATGGAAGTAAGTTCTTGAGTGCTGGGTATGATAAGAATATCAAGTATTGGGATACAGAGACAGGGCAAGTGATATCGACTTTTTCGACTGGAAAGATTCCTTATGTAGTGAGGCTTAACCCCGATGAGGATAAGCAGAATGTGTTGTTAGCGGGGATGAGTGATAAGAAAATTGTCCAGTGGGATATAAATTCAGGGCAGATTACCCAGGAGTATGATCAGCATTTAGGGGCAGTGAATACAATTACGTTTGTCGACAACAACAGGAGGTTTGTTACATCTAGTGATGACAAGTCGTTGCGTGTGTGGGAGTATGGTATACCGGTGGTTATAAAGTATATTAGTGAACCCCATATGCATTCGATGCCTTCGATCTCGTTGCACCCGAATTCGAATTGGCTTGCATGTCAAAGTTTGGATAATCAGATACTTATTTACAGCACGAGGGAGAGATTCCAGCTAAACAAGAAGAAGAGATTTGCTGGGCACATTGTGGCTGGGTATGCTTGTCAGGTTAACTTTTCGCCCGATGGGCGGTTTGTCATGTCAGGAGATGGTGAGGGAAGGTGCTGGTTTTGGGATTGGAAGAGTTGCAAAGTCTTTAGAACTCTCAAGTGCCACGACGGAGTTTGTATCGGTGCTGCTTGGCATCCGCTGGAACAGAGTAAAGTTGCTACCTGTGGCTGGGATGGCTTAATCAAATACTGGTATGGATTCTAATCTATGGTTCTACATGAATAATCTTTCTATTGGCTCTATTATTGTTGAAAAGTTCTTGTGCCTGTGAATGTCTAATTAGGGATCTTAATCATGGCTTAATAGGATTAGCCTTTATAAACTTGAATTAGGGTGAGCAACCTCTGAAATTGTCGCTTGTGTAACATATGGCTGAAACCAATTTTTAAGGATGATATTATTGGTTGGACTACAGTTGATTGATATTTCCGTCTGGATTACTTTGTGATTGCTCTAGTTCTATCATTTATTGATTAGTGCTGTCTACGAAATGCTAGCACATGTAGTTGCGAAGTACTCAATGTTAGTACCCATTGTTAGTGTTGTACTTGGTAGTAAATTCTGCCAACCATTGAGATATCGTCTTCCCGACTAGGAATATTTATATATATATACATGATTGCACTGGCAAAATAAATATGCTAGGTGTTTTAGCAGGTTGGTACAATATCCGATCATGCAATTGTTGGCTGTGTTGATTTTATTATTTTGTTACAACCCATATCTACTCCCAACTTTGAACGACACATACTTCACATGCTTTCTCTTGGAAAAGAATCACTCTCTTGTCAGATTTATAATATATTATCTGCAGAAATTCCTGATATTGAAATGATATTTTATAATGTCTCTGCATTTACTCTCCTCCTAGCCGTAGTCTCGGATGAATTTGTTTGAACTCTTGAATATTTTAAGCTCTCTCTAATTATTGACTATAATGACTGATGTCTTATGATTGTTCTTTACTTGGGAGTTAAGTGTACTGCTGACTGAAAGTAATTTGGAGGTAATTGTGAGGAAATCACTGTTATGCTACTGCCAGGCATGCTCCGGGTAGTTAGTCTGACTGAAAGGCGGACCATAAGCCCTTTAGGAAAAACACATTATAATGCAATAGATTCCCCGTTTTTGGATAAATTTGTATTGGCTTCCATTCAGAGAAGAAAGAAATATAGATACTTCATAACTAACAAAGCCATTCTGCACACGGCTCTTACAAAAAAAAATAGTCAGACTCATAGTTTAGCTCTCGATCTTTGTCAATAGAGCCTAGTTGTGGATATCAGACTGCTGGAAGTATGAACACTCTGAGAAAAAGGCTGAAACTATTTCAGATTGTACTAGACTAGGTTGTTCTTAGACGCAAGTTACTCTCCCAGATCGCATCACATTTTAGTATGTGAATAGTATGTTTCACGAGCTATTTGTATATCTCGATAGCTGGTTCGACTATAAATGTTTTTTTTCCCTTTTTCTCTGGTTTCATTTCTTCTCCGTCTGCTTGGACTTTGCTGAATCTAAATATTGTCCGAGACTTGTTTGTTTGGCCACTTAGCTTTCTTCGTCACTGAAACAAAAATTGCTTTTACTCCTCTTTCTAACTTTGTAATTCGTATTTTTTAAATGTTTGCAGGGACTAAGTTGCAAATTAATGGTTGGATTGTTGCATCTACTGGCTCTGATATCATCTTGGAGGGGATACACACTCCGAAAATACTGAAAACAAGAACGTTTCCATTTGAGGTTGGACGAAGCACAGAGCCCATGTACCCGCACGCTGATATTATTATTGCTTACTATATTTTCTTTCTAGCCAAGTTGAAGAGAAAAAACACTACCTTTGTAACTTTAATACTTCACCTTGTTGGAGTTCTGAGAAATGGCAGGTCATGTAAACTATGTAATAGTTTGTTTTCGCTATTCTCGAATATTTCTAAACCCTTGTGAGCTTTTGATATAGATTTCATGTTCTTATCGATTTTTTTAGATTTGGCTTGTTGGCGACAATTCCCCTCTGGCTTCGTTTCATTATATTCGATGATTGGATTCGACATTATATTCGATGATTGGATTCGGCGAAATTTTCCTTAAAATTAATCTACTCGACACAGGATACTACGAGACTAATCTTAAAAAAATAGTTCCGAGTTCAAATTGATTTGTGTTCGCTCGACATCTGTTGAACTGCTAATAAAATCAAGCTAGGATATAACTTCTCAACTGTCAATGAGAAATGACTTGTACAAAAAAAAAAAAATTATATTATAAATGATTGCGTCTGCCGGGAGTCGAACCCGGGTCTATTGCTTGGAAGGCAATTATCCTAACCGTTGGACTACAAACGCTTGTTGTTCAAATGAAATGAAATAACTCAATAAGTTGTATTCTTTTCGTATTACACGAAAGTGTGTTAATCTAGGCTCGAGTTTTGGACTTTGGTCTCCAATGGAGATGAAGCTCAGCCGCGGACCGTGGATGAGGCGGCAGCTCGCCACCCTATCTTCACCCTTACAGACCGTTTACTCCTCCTCCGCCTCCTCTCTCTCTCCAATCCCGCCTATTTCGCACCCTTTGAAATCATCCACAAATCCACCTTCTCTCACCCATTCCTCTTCCTATGGCCGTTCTTTCTCACTGTCGGCCGCCGCCACTCTCCAATCCTCGCTCTCTCCCACACTTTCAGGTATAATTACCACCCTCTGCACAAAAACTTAGTCAAGTATAAATAAATTCGAAATTCGATACATTTTACTTCCATTCGCGCCTCTGGTTTTCTCGATTCTCTTTTTTTTTTTTTTCAGAACACAATTATTTTACATTTTCATTTTTGTGCACAGTGGGCGAAGAGAATAGCTGCATACCAGTGATTGGCTCAAAGGTTCTTTTAAAAGGGATGAGATATCATGAACTCGAGGTATAATTTATAACCACCCTTTTCATTCTAGGGTTTGTGTTTTGTACAATTGATAAACAAACTCGAATAATTAGGAAATGAATTGATTGATTGACTGACTCACTCTTCAATCATGTTCATGTTGTCTGGTTTCGAATTCTAGATTATCACACATTTGATTCGTAGTTTGTTTCGCTTCTGATGTTGTTCACTGGATACAATAGAAATGGGTTCAGTCTCATGGATTTCGACCTGCTCAGGCGTTGATGTTGTGGAAACGATTATACGGAAACAATATTTGGGCTCACGACATCGAAGAATTACAAGGTTATTCTTGTTCCTCAAGTATTCGTGAGCTTGATTTAATTATTGAATTTGTCGGAACTGAAAAACCGTCTGTTTTATTTGCTACTGCCAGGTTTGAACAAGGACTTGAAGAGGATGTTGGGCGAACACGCTGAATTTAATGTTTTGCAGTTGAAGGATATGCTTACTGCGTCGGACGGAACCAAGAAGGTAAACAAACACGTCTTTTTTTTTTCTTCTCTAATTTTCGTTTTAAATGGTGTGGTTTGCATTAGGTTGAGTAATAGAACCATCTCATTCATTTAAAAGTGACAGGTGCTTAACAGATATTATTCACAATGGAAGATGGACTTACGATCGAAACTGTTGTGATTCCTGGCCCTAGAGGACGCACCACTGTGTGCGTTTCCAGTCAAGTTGGATGTGCCATGAACTGCCAGTTTTGCTACACCGGAAGGCAACTACTTCATTTACTTTTTACTTTTTACTTTTTTCTGACCTGAAAACTCGAAAACGGAGTTACTATTGAATTTTGTGGTGGTGATTTATTTGCAGAATGGGGTTGAAAAGAAATTTAACTGCTGCTGAGATAGTTGAGCAGGCTGTTTTGGCGAGGCGGCTGCTTTCGCATGAAGTCGGCACGATAACAAATGTTGTGTTCATGGTAATTTAAAAAATAAAAAAATAATAAATATTCCGACGTATGCTCTTAACTTTTAGCATTTCAAGACTTCTTACGAGTTACCGAGAGTGAACCTTGTACTTTTACAGGGAATGGGCGAACCACTTCACAACATCGAGAATGTGATAAAAGCTGCAGACATAATGGTAGACGAGCAAGGCCTTCAGTTCAGTCCCCGCAAAGTTACGATTTCTACGAGTGGGCTTGTTCCTCAAATTAAACGTCTTCTTAAAGAATCTAACTGTGCTTTAGCTGTCAGTTTAAACGCTACTACAGATGAGGTACGATTTCTTGTTTAATATTATTTATTTATTTATTTAATTAAGTGTGTTGTTATTGTTAAAAAAAAATGCAGGTTAGAAATTGGGTGATGCCAATTAACCGCAAGTATAACCTGGGGTTGCTTCTCGGTACACTTCGAGAGGAACTCCAGTTCAAACGCAACTACAAGGTCTTGTTCGAGTATGTAATGCTTGCTGGAGTTAATGACAGGTCAGATATAATTGCCTTTTAATCGCACACAAACACTCGTGCATAGGGGTGGAAATTGGAACGGAGTTTCAGATTTTCCGCCGATTCCGATCCAAAATTCCCGATTGTGGAACAATATTTTTCATTCTGAATTCCAGTTTCCGATTTTATTTTTTTGGATTGGAATTGGAATAGATATCAAATTCCGATTTTTGATCCGATTTCAATTTCCGAAAACAGTTCCGCCGTTTTTTACGGAATTCCTCCCAATCCCGATTCCAAAATTTTCAATTTTCGAAATTCCCGTTTCTGATTTTTCCGATTTTTTTAATGGAACTGGCATTAGTTTTTCACTTCCGAAAATATCGAAATTTTACCGTAAGTGCTAATTCGGATTTCTGTCTGAAAATTACACTAACAATATCCATATCTTTATGTATTTTGTATTTTAGGTTGCTAAAAATTGGAATATTCGAATTCATCCCGATTCATAATCCAAATTTTCCAATTTTCAAAAATCTGATTTCCATTTTTTTTAATGGAACTGCATTAGTTTTTCACTTCCAAAATCAGAATTTTTCCGAAAGTGCTAATTCCGATCCGTTCCGTCCGATTTCCACTCCTAAGTCCTACCCACACACCATTTCCTTTTTAATCAAGAATATTCTTTCTGCAGTATCGAAGATGCTAAACGATTAATCGATCTCGTCCAAGGCATTCCTTGCAAGATCAATCTCATTTCTTTCAATCCTCATAGTGGGTCAAAGTTTAAGTCAACCAGTGAGGAGAAAATGATCGAGTTTCGCAATATACTAGCTGCATCAGGGTGTGTCGTTTTCATGCGATTTAGCAAAGGAGACGATCAAATGGCTGCATGTGGCCAGCTTGGCAATCCAGGTGAGGTACAAGCTCCATTGCTCAAAGTACCTCTTAAATTTCGAGCTGCACTTGAGGCTTCTTCTGTTTGAAAACTGCAGTTTATATAGTATGAATGGAATCTTTTTGGTTCCATAGAATATTCATTAGAATACCGACTTTACCCTCGTGGGTAATTGTAATAATATTATTTTATGAGGGAATAATCGTAATATTATGTTTCAATGAAATATGATTGTTTTGTACTGTAACACCCCGTAAATATGTAAGTTGTTTAAGTCTGGGATAATTAAATTTATTTAGTTGATATGTGTCGATATGGAATTATAATATATCCCGAATTTGATGGGAAGTGTAGAATTGTAATTATCTAAAGTTATGGCATCTATTGGTAATTAAGAAAACAATTTGGCCTTATAGCCAATTTTCATAATTTACAATGAGATATGGATTGACGTGTGCATCATCAATTGCAGCCACGTTTCTTCATTCTCCCCAACTCCTCTCTCTCCCTCACCGTCTCTCTCTTTCTCTCTATCTTCTTCTCTTCATTCTTTCTCTCTTGCTCACTTATTCTCTATCTTCGCCATTCTCTCTATCGGAGTCTTGGCTGGAATCAAATAAGTTGGTCGGAAATATTGAGTTTCTAAGTGAGGGTTTGATGTAATCAAGTTTGGGTTGAAGAATTGAGCGGTGAAAGAAGAAAGCCCAAATTGATTCTTCAAAAGTGCTGCAACGTTTTATGAACAGAGTTTCGAGAATCCGGTGGCACTGGTATAAACCATAAGAGATCAGCTTCACATCGGTGGTGGTGGTCGGAATAGGTCGAAGAAGACAAGTTCATTTACCATTCGAAATTCAGCGGTTAGGCCTTCAAAGAAATAATTGTTTAGGGGCCTTTGAGATTGAACCTCGTTGATCAGGATACATCGTTAGAAAGCTAATGAGTTTGGCTCTCTACTGGTGGTGGTTCTCGAGGGTTTGCACCGCCGGTGGTCGCCGGAGTTTGAGGAGAAGTCAGCCAGCCCGCTGGGATTTTGGGGAAATAAAATCTTCTGCCGCACCTGTTTTCGGAGCCGAAATCGAAGGGTTTCGAATGCGAATTTGGAATCGGTTCCTTCAGGAAACTCGTAGAGGACATCGTAAACTATAAGTAAGTGTTCAATTGTATCGAATTAGAATATTTATTATACGTGTTTTAGACGTCGGAATCCGATAACAGTAATCTGCCGGAAACAGGGCAGTTTTGAGTATCTTCTTGCGGGACTGTTTTCGATATGTTGGGATCATAATTTGGGCTCTGTGCCTTCATGAAACTTGTAGATTAAGTTGTAAGGTTTCATTTGATGTATTATTTGGACAATTTGGATAACCGTACAATTTGTTATGATTTTTCAAACGGGCTGTGACGGTAAACGAAATTATCCGAAAATCTGGCAGGTTTATGTATTCATCTTTCGGGGTTGTTATTGACGGGTTATGTTGTTAATTTGGGATTAAAGTCTTCAGTAAACTTGTAGATACAGATGTTATCTTTAACTTTATATATCGTTTAGGTCATTCGGATAAGTACGACGATCGTAGTGATTATTTGAATAGAGTGCCACGAGAAGCAATTCTTAGTATATGTTTAAGAAATTGACCATGTCATATAGTGGATGGTAATATGGCTATATTACTGTTTGGATTCTTATTTAGTTCTAATATTTGCATAGGTGTTGAGCGTAGTAAAGCTCTGACTCAAGGTATAAGCTTAAAGATGCTTATAGCACTTCTATAACACTAGCGTTGGACTCCAGGTGAGAAACTATGACTCCTTATCCAATTTCTTTTCTGCGCATAATATCTCCTTTGTTTGAACCGAATATTTTGTATATATTGAAGCCTTCGATACCTTGATTATATTTGTTCTTGAAATATGATCCTTAATGTTCTGCGAGCATATTGTTTTCTTGGCTCGAACTTGGAACCATGATCTTGTCCTTGAAATCTTGAACTTTTCAATTCTCTTGGTTGCTATGTTCACGGCTAATTCCTATACTTGATTCATTGGCCTGAACATTTTCCTTGAATCGATATTGAACTATATTTATTCTCAAAATCTTGTCTTGAATGCCTTCCGAGAATAAATATTTTGTTGGCTCGAACTTGAATCTCATGTTTATTGAATATATCGAGATCTTGTGACATGGAATTTATTGTTCTTCTTGAATTCCATATTCACGACAATTGTTCATTGGCTTGAATTGAAATCTGAACATGTTCATTATCCTGAGACTTGATATTCAATTATCATGATCGTGACTTATCTTGTGAATGATTGACTTGATTCTTGAATTGATTCTTGAAATGAATGACTTGATATTCCTAAAAGGAATGATATTGATTCTTGAACCTATTGTCCCCACCCTTGAGGACGCTCTTGGGGGAGCTGGGCCCTAGGACCATTTCGGCAAGACGATCGGGCAGTATTGGGCTGCCGATGACTGGTCTCCCGAATGGTACCTCCTGATGGTTCGGACTCACGTTCGTTTGGAGTTAAATGTTCTTGAGCCGAATCGGCACGTTCCGGTCGTGCCTCTTGCTTGTTTCCGACCGAGTGGCCACTCGGGACGGATTGGAGGGATAAGGATGTGATATGATTTTATTTGTTGGGAGTTACAAGGTTGGAGACCCCACCAAATATTGAACTCAAGCCGTACATGTTACACTCTTGTACATGTTACACTTCTGTTAATGAAATTCTTGTAAAGTCTCTCGTTATATGTTCTGTTCTGTTGATTCTCATCATACTCATGGATCATATGTTTTTCACTAAGTCATTCGGACTTATTCGTTTCTCCTTTCTGATATTAATGCGCAGGTAAAAGAAAGATTTATACCTAAATTTTCATACTAAGAGTTAAAGCTCGTGTATACCTCCGATTAGTCTCGTCGAGAGGTATCTCTATTTATGTTCCGTATAGGAATCCTTTGATCGAGAATTTTGTAATAGAGTAAGTGGTGTCGAAGTCGACTTGTAATAGAATCCCCTTTTGTAAACACGATGTTATAGATATTGGGGGGTTTAATGTTTTGATCATCGCAATTTGGAGGAGCATATTTGGGGTCATTAAATGTACTGCATGTTGAGTGGTGTCCCACCACGAGGTGCCTGCTACTCGGGGCGGGGCGCTACAGGTGGTATCAGAGCTTTGGGTTAGTTAGCTTTGGGTTGGTAGAGCTTTGGGTTTGATGCCCGGGCGATGATGGAAAGGGATCTTTGAGAATTGTAGAGCTATGAATTGAATCTTGGGAGATTGAGAAGATAGGTAGTAATCGAGTATTAGAGGCATTGAGATGATAATTTAGCGTCTATTACCGATATAGATAGTGAGGAATACCCCGTAGAAATATCTATCATACACGATGGGATTCATGGTTCTTTTGGTTACTTCAATTGGCTCCCAATTCTCCGATGTTGTTTATCACGAGTAAGGTCCCTAGTCTCACTTGAATCGAGTAATACTCTTTTTTGCAGACGTCCCATTCTTTGAGTACTGTATAACTTGACTTCCTTATCCGAACCTTATTATCTCATTTTGAATATTGAATTACGGTGAACCAAATATTCGGGAGTTCTTTTGTTCACTCCTTATCATTCCAATGAATTCTATTTTGATTCGTTGGCCTATATTGTCTAATTTCATTTGGTGATCGTAATCGATTCTCTTATCTCATTTTAATACCTCATAGTCTTAGTTACCAATTTTATGAGGTTTCGTACCCCTTCAAATTCCGCATGGTTTGGATTATCCTTTGTTTTGAAGCCCCTTACCTTATTGTGCTACCATCTCCACCTTCTATCCTTTGTAAACATTCTATGGTTTTGGCTTATCTATTTGCCGAGACTTCTTATCCAGTTCACTCCATCTTTAGTGTTCAATTATTTTGAATACCATATGATTTTGGTCATGTTCTTGTGAGGTTCCTTATTTTTTCCACTACCATCTGCTTTTGATAATTGTGAGGTTTTCTATCTCTTTGAACACTCTAGTTTTGGCTAATCTATTTGTCGAGACTTTTTATTTCCTTGAATATTTCTTTACTTATTCAATATATACTACTCCATTTTCAATGTTCCAATTTTCTTGAATATCTCTTGATTTTGGTCACGTACCTTTGAGGTCCCTATTCTCGTTTCATTTGGCTATACCATTGTTATTATTCTAATGTTGGGGCAATCTTTCTACTTATGTTTGAGGTTCTTGTTCTTTTGGCCTCAAAATTCGATTCTTGTGCATGAATTGTTCCATTGTTATTATTGATCACAATGGAAATCCCATATCTCATTTCAAAACTCCTTATCTCATTTCAATACTTCGGCATCTCGGTTACCTATTTTTTTAGGTTTATGATTCTTTGAATACAATATTGCTAAACTATCTTACTTCCTTCCCACTATTGATCACGAGTGAGGTATTTGATCTCGTTTGAATGCCTCGATATCCTTGTTGCGTTTTTTTTGAGATTCCTCATCTCATTTAATACTTCTCGATTTGGATATCCTATTATGTGAGGTTTCTTATCCCTTTGAAACCTTGTGATTCGACTTCTTTATGTCGCTTCTATTTGTTCCCTCTCACTCATAGACCATGATTATTGTTAATTCAGGGTAAAAGAATGGACCTTGTTTGGGTAATGTCGTGTCATATGACTACGGTTGTATACATCTATTGTTATATCACCTTATGGATTCGACCTGGAATAATTTCGACGATTATCTTACTCGACGGAAAAAGGTTATGTAGTTATCATGACTTAGAAATTGTATAGAGTTTGTTGACTCTTAAGGTATCTTGAGCACTTTGAATTCTTGATTATAATCGTCAGGGTACAGGGAGCTAAGTGTTATGCAGGGCAAAGCGCTACGGTGTGGGAGCCACCTCTTGAACCTGCGGGACAAAGTGCTACACAACGGGAGACACCTCTTAATCTTGCATGAGCCACCTCTAGAGTCCCTAGTGTCCCATAAGTCAGCTATATCTTGACATTGGATTATCAGTTTTTGCAATTCTATTTGGTTAATATCAAGAGCTAAGTGCTATGTGGAGAAGGTGTTTAATGTACAACACCTATGTCAATAACAGCGTAGAGAGTTCCACTTTTCCTTGTAAGATGTGAACGAGCAACTACAAGAATTTGGCCTTCATGAGCAACTTGCTATAAATAAGTTTTGCCCGTCTTGTAGTTTGGTTGAAGTAATTC